AGGGGGGGAGATAGAGTGAGACAGAGACAGATAGAGAGACAGACAGACATGGAAGTCGGAGAGAGGGATTTTTTTTTCGTACTTTTCGTTTCTTTTTAGTCAATTACCCGGGCAACTCTTGGGAAGTAGTAAAAGTAAGGACACTATAATCCGATCATGTCATGCCACGTCTTGAACAGAGTCAAATCTGCTTAGTTCACATCAAATATACTCTCCTGGCCGCAAGACGTGAAGGCCGTGCTGAGACATAGCAGGTCCTAATTAAGCTACCATGGCGAAAAAACAACTGTAACATAACAAAACAGGAGCTGACAGGGCGAATATTATCGCACCCTTGCATTGCACATAGTGTGACGTGGGGGCGACACCGCTTGGGGGTGTGACGTTTCAAATTTCGAGATACACAGAAAGAGAAGTATATTAAACGGAAAAAACTGATGAACGTCAATCATCAACCGATTTCGTCCTAGACAACACTGGAAAAACCAGAACAGCAAAACACAATACGAACAAATAGTAAATCACACGCAAAACAACTGCCGGATGTCTCTGAAGACACCACTCACTACAGAAACAAAAGGATACTTGAAACAAATTTTGGAAAATAGACAGTGAGAAGCACACCGGCACAGTGATATTCAGATTACCCTCGGACCCACATCTCGAGTTCGTCCTTGACCTTTGAAGCAAGTTGGTTCAGAGTGTTTATATGACAAACAGAATAAATGTAAACAACTACTACTTTTAGTTAGCGTTATACAGCACTTGCAAAAAAGAGTAACATACACAGAAAAGCAGGAGAGATGTTTGATAGGAAAAAAGGAGCAAACCACACCAGAGCACCGGCCAACTACCCACCAACAACAACTAGAACTATGACAAAAATGAGAGAGGATAGACGAGAATGGAACTCACTCGAATCGCCGCCAAGCAAGTGCCAGCTGGTGGAAAGATTTGCGTTGCGCAGAGCTCTGCTGAGTCGTACATCCAGAGTGGACAGAACTTCATTGGACAGGTCGAACCTGTCACTCTTGATGAGCTCCAAGTTGTCGAGGGCGTGGTCGTTATAGACGCTGCTGGTGAGGAACTTGGTCAGGTAGAAGGTGGAGTCGTATTCGTACTGCAGGTAGCAGTGAGCCAGGGAGGCGTAGCTGTTGCACACGCCCACACCCACCTCGCCGGACTTGTCCACTTCCTCCTCCGTCACCTGGACCAGCGTCACGCTCACCTCTTCCGCGAGGTCGTGACCTGGAAACAAAAGAAGATCCAGGTTAAAAACTGTGTGAGTAAGTGTTTTAGTTTTTAGTAAGAGTTTTACGGCACTTGCAACACAATAAAAAAAGGAGGAGAGATCTGGACGATAGATGTTTGGAAGAAAAGAAGGAGCAAACCATACCAGAGCACCCGCCAACCACCTACAGTGTGAGTTAAGAGAAGCACATTAACACAGCAACGATCATATAGAGCATGAAAGAAACACGACAGATGAACAGAAAAAATAGAGGATAATAAAAGTAGTATGATCCCCCAAGTCACACCCTCCAACAACAGATTTGTATCAAAATAAGTAAGTTTGTATGCCTAGGCCCATACAGAGAAAATATCTTTCCAAAGAAAATCACATTGTGGAATTGCAGTCGGCTCAATTAAGTTTAGTTTAAGTAAAAAAAAGAAGCACGTCGACACTATAGCCGTCATTAAGTGCTGGGGAAAAGTGAGACAGACAAACACATTTTTAAAAAGAATGAAAATAAAGAAAGGTCTACAAAAATGATACGGTGACATTCGATCAAAATTAGAACTGAACAGCATTTCAAAGGTTCGAAAAGCAGTCTTTAAACCTTCGCAATCTCACCAAACACTACCAAAGTCGTTAGTCTCAGCTGGCTTAAGCTCCAGCTCACTGGAATAGATTTTAAGACCTTTTCAATCTTTAAGGATATTTAAAAGACGAGACCTTCGAACTCAAAGTGTATCTCCGATAGGGCGGATCCAGGTGGTCACATGCTCCGTTGGGGATTCGAACTAAGGAAATTCGCGTTTAAGTTCATCCTGATAACAAGTGAGCCAACGGCGCCTCCTTGGCACTTGAATCTGACTTGCCTTTGGGGAAATGGTGACCTACACTATCCGGGAAAGAAAGAGAGATGCCAGGCAGAACGAATTCAACAAGAGAACAGAGCTGGGGGGGGGTCCTTATGAGAGGCGCCTCCTAGCTAGTGACAATGAGTACGAGATGTGAAAAATAGGAGGAATACCTTAATATATGAAAATGTGTCGAAAGCACTGGCTATCACAATCCTCTTCAACTCGACATTCATCAACGCAAAAAGCACTCGCCCCAGCTGACCACTGTAGACTCACAGTATGTTATGGTAAATACGAAATGGGAACTAATTTGGACTGGCGCAGAAATGGACGATGTGGTGCGGTAAAGTATTTTGCAAACAAACTAACAAGACTCAACAAAAAGCTTGGCTGCCTTTCCCGATATGGCCAAACCAAGCGGGTGGAGGGTCATAAAACCTCAAACAACCCAACAAAATCTGAACGAGGGTACACTACTATCAAACAAGTTTAAGAAAGACATGAAAACAGAAAACCTGTCTACCACAGACCTTTTGTACAAACAGTATCATGTGAATAAGTAAAATGAAAAAAAGAAGGTACAAAAAATAAGACAGACATCAAATAGAACACTTACACCTTTCAGTCTGCCACGGTAGCAGACAGATTTGAAAATTGTCATGTTAAAGGCATTTTTACATAAATAAAAACCTTCAACTAGTTCAACGTTTTCATGTGTGCAACTTTTTGCGTGCAGACTTGGCTTTATTAATAACTACAAACTTGAGCCATCTCGAGACCGAACCTGAACACACAAAAAATCCGGAAAATCTCCAACTACAGATATATTTGTGAGAAAAAAGTGGGTCATGTCCAAAATCGATGAAGTGAGTGGGTCGTTCATAATACAGGATCTTCCACTCAATTAAGCGGTACCATTTTTGGCAAGGTTTCCTCTCTTCCCTCTACATCACCTTTCTTTTTTCTTTCTCCTCATATCTCAATCTATGACAGACAGACAGACAGACAGACAGACAGACAGACAGACAGACAGACAGACAGACAGACAGACAAAAGAGGAGGAAGGAAGGAAGGAGGGAGAAAGGAAGGCCTGCGTTGTGTTGCACCTAAAGAACCGAGGATGATCTTGATAAAAGAGAACACTCTCCCACACCGACGTGGGAGTGCTGAAAGGTACAAAACAGAAACTTAGAGCACTTGCGCACGTTGCTCTCCCGGCTCCTGTGACGAGACAAACTGAAAGGCGAGTGTATTCATTCATTCACACGCGCACTCAACTCACATCAACCCAACAGACGTTATTTTTTAAACGATTTCTTTTTCTTTGCTCGTATTGAAGTTCCAGTCCTGCCTCATTCCACTCCTCGCAGAATGGGAGTGGGTTGTCTTGTTGTTTGGTTGTTGTTGGTTTTTGTTGCTGTGTTGTTGTTGCTGTTTTTGTTTGTTTGTTGTTGGGGTTTTGTTCTTGTTTCTGGTTTTTGGTTGTTTTTTTGTTTGTTTGTGTGTTTTTTTTGGGGGGGGGTTGCTGTTTGTTGT